ATCCAACTTATTTGACAACTAAGTAAAAGTGTCAGATTGTCAGGATAACCTTTATTTTAAATTGTGCCACACAAATATTAAGCTAGGAGCTAGTCCATCTAAGTAGCACCAGACATCAACATCTGGCCTGATGTGTACTGCGAGCCAAAAATGACATGCGACTCTGCATTTGTTTCAAGTCGACATGGATGTAATTCATTCACTCTACACAACACACATACACGTGCTCTCTCCAGCTGGCTAATCTGGAGCAAAAGGCTCAGCTCTGGAAATAATTCATGAAGAACAGAGGATCTGAACTCCACTGCCTGGATGGATGTGATCACTTTTGTCGGTGAGTTAGTTTAAGACCCTGCAACACGTTTATTTAGAGTTTTACAGACTACAGTGATGCTTCTTCCAGTCACAGAGAAGAGATTTGAATTTCTCTTTATCATATTCAAACACAAAGCCACAACAGAGAGCTGATTAGAATACGCTTCCTTCTGAAGCAGCTGAAACACTCCTACTCTCTAGCTAACAGGTCAGATGTTTAGCTCCCACCATTGTCTCTGGCTTCAGGGTAATCAGCCTGGATGCTGACAGGCCACACTGCCTAACCTCTATACCCCTTTGTGTCAGCATGGCAGCAACCCTAACTCTGCATGCTGACAACACAGCTGGTCAATTATTCAGAGATCAGAGCTTTTCCGAGTCCGACTCTGTAGGGAGAGCAGGACAGGGACAGCACAAGGATGTCACGCATCAAAAGGACCGCCGTCACCTGTCCTTCCACTGCACCGTTTTACTGACAGTCAATCAGCCGTTAAGCACTGAACCTCTCTGGTAAACAATCAGCAATCTAAAAGGGCCGCTAGTGGTGTTTTACAAAATTATGTGTCAATGCAGATCAGAGAGATCTTTGAAAATGCAAAACAAACCAGGAGTTGCTATGGTAACTACAAAGTATGGGTAAGCAGACACCAATTTTTGCAAATATGCACGTGCGTGCACACACACACACTTGCACACATGTGCACATGCATGCACACACACACTCAATGTAGAAAGGAAACCAATATGGAGTCTGGCAGTTAAGATCATTAACCAACACACACATTATCTCTGCAGGCTGCATTTAGAGGTGAACAACCCCCTACACACACACACACACACACACACACACACACACACACACACACACACACACACACACACACACACACACACACACACACACACACACACACAAAGTGATCTGGTCCTAGTGAATCTATGCGAGTCTGATTGATAAACGAGCAGCTTGAAGCACTAAGGCTGATGAACCAGTCACACAATGCAGATGTCTGACGGTAACCTCCTCCTACATTCTCACAACACACACACACACACACACACACACACACACACACACACACACACACACACACACACACACACACACACACACACACACACACACACACACACACACACACACACACACACACACACACACACACACACACACACACCTAAAGGCCTGCTCAAACATCACCACTTCCTCTCCTGACTTCTGCTTTCGAGCTACATGTTACTTATTTTAAATTTTTTATGAAATAAATGTCAGCTTCTCTCCTGTTCTCACTGAAACATTCACTTGTCATCAATCTAAGGTTTCCTTGTTGTCATGAAATCCTCCATCGGTGCAATTCTGATCTTTACCTTGGCTGCATGCTTGGGTTTGCGGAAGAACGAGGTCTTAGCGGTAAAGAAGGTGAAGTCCTCGCTCTCCTCATCCAGGCTGCAGTACCCGCTGCTCATGCTGTTACTGCCGGTCATGGAGGTGGTCAGCACCGTACTGACAGTCATGGAGAAGTCCACGAGGACAGCTACCAGCACCAGAATAGCACCAGAACAGCGCCCAGGCAGCGCGTTGACAGGTTGGAGCAAGCGTCTGATGGGTTGTCCCGGAATGAAGTGACACAAAGTTTCCTTTGCTCATCCACACGCGGTTTAGTGCTCCTCCGCCGACGCCATTCAGAAAGTTCCACCTGCGAGGGGTGAAGCAGGTGAGATTGGCTTGAAATCGGCTCTTTGAGTGCCACTGGAGAGGAGACCAGGAAATATGAGAACGAGCACAGACGTGTCACTTCCTCCTGATGAGCGTGTGCTCGAGAATGCTCTGATGCTGGTGTCAAAAACAGGCCGAGGAGGACCTGGCTGTCTGCAGCTCACTTGCACTTATTCACACATAGTTTGGTCGTCCTTCATGCAGGCAGACGTCAGTGTGGCGGAGTCAGTTTACAGGCTGGTTTTAGGTTAGCCCTGCACACCTGAGAGCACCTGTTCTACTCACAAAACAAGTAAAGGCATTCATGCAAAACCACATCCTCCTTTGGTCCAGCGGCACGGCTGCAAAGGAATAAACTCAAGTCCAGGTTTCAGAAGCAGCGTTGGTTTGTTAGGGCATCCGTCCACGTCTGGAGTCAACAGCACGCAGTGGCTGAGTTTATTTTGTCTGCCGCGACAAGACTCCTCTCTCCATTGCTTTGACGAGAAGAAAGTGATTCCTCCCACACAAGCTCCTCTCTGCCTCTGCAACCGTTTTCTCTCCCTCACTCTCTCACAACCATCTGTGGTTGAGTGTGTTATCAGGCTGAGAGTACCCTCCCCCTTCTCCCTCTTCTCCCTCCTCTCTCTGTCTCTCTTCCTGCAGGCAACTGCACCCTGCAGAGCACGGCCACTTCCTCCCACAGAAGACGAAAGCAAGAGAGAGGGAGAGGCGTGAATAAACAGAAAGAGAAACGTTGATGGGTTAGAGACATGAAGCCGATCAAAGATGCCGTTTACACTGAATATGTAGACAGGAAGCAGCAGCTGCACGCCATGCTTGACTGGAAACCAGAACCAGAGGTTAGTATATTAAACACAATCTAGAACAACACAAAATTATCATGATATTGGTGAAGATGTGGGTTAACAGCGACCTCTGACCTTTTATTGACCACATGATCTGCCCTTCCACTCTGGCAGCCACCTCCCCCTGTCCTAAAGCAGTTAGCATCCCAGCCATCCATGACAACGATGGCACAAGCTGCTTTTGTGAAATGAGTCAAATAATCTGCACAGGCACAGAAAAAAGGGACAACTTAGATTTGGAAAATCTTGTAATCTGTTGCCTTCAGTGACCATCTCCGGATTTTCTCCTAGGCCCTATCGATGCATGGCGGGGTGCTGCACATCAACACGCATGCATAGGAAACGACCATGCCTGCTGGTTTCAGGTCAATAAAACCTGCCTGGTGCATCGACTTGTGCAGTTTGGGGATCAATTTTTGCTGAGATACACAGTAAGCAAAAGAAGAATAGAGGGAAACACTCACACACACATCTACTGAAAGATTACAGCGAAGGCAGAAAAACAGAACTGCAGGAAATAACCTGTCATGTTTTTCTCTTTGGTCTGCAGAGCTGCTGTGGTAGACAGTATGAACCAAGCCACAGCGAGCACGAATACAAGCCTCAATCACTGAGCTCAGATACCTGCAGGACAGACGGCGTGCATTCTGATTCGTGTGTAATTAGGTCAACACTGATTTTGCTCACAGAGATCAGTTTGCACAAATATAAGATTCATTTGAGTCTTTTTACATCCCTGAACACAAGTTCTTTACCTAAGAGTTCACTTTAAAACATATACATCATGTTTATTTTCATTACAGAGTCCTCTCGCTGTCTGTTTCATTTTGTAAGCATCCAGCTTTTATTTGTTGGTTCTTTAACTTTCATTAAGTAATAAAACCAGGGTTGTTTTACTGCTAAAGTACAAAAGGCAGGAAGTGATGGTTTTGTGTGTCTGTTAGCAAAATATCTCATGATTCACAAGGTACTAATGAATATGTCAGAGAATAATCATTGTATCTAAATCTGAATAATATTTGGAATTCACCTCATTAAATATGGCCGCCGCACACATATGAATGTGGCTCAGTCAATTTATTCGTTATTGGGCTCACATTGAACATGTAAAGACCGGGTCACATGACAAGATATTCACCAGGATTCTCCCCATCCAACAGTCTTTAGGAGTTCAGATAATCCTGCCGTGTGTGGTGTGTTAGGAGCGATCTGGTCTGCTGGGAAGCACGCCGCGACTGCTAACATTATAAATTGGGGATATTGAACATGTTGAACTGTAGTTTGCTCAGTGTTAAAGACAAACAAGCATGCTTCCCGTTGAAGTTTATTTACTCTTAATTCACGCTTGATATCGAGAGGTTTTAGTGAGATTTCCTGTCTGACCGCAATTTGTGTGCAGATTTTGTCGTGTGGCTGGACACAGTATGACCAAAACTGTCACTTCCATGATTTTTTTGTCATAACGTGTGTGGTTTCTTGTACGCAAATGTTAAATGTCTGCCATGTGAACTAGGTCTTCGCTGACGAGTCATTTCAAAATTTGACCTAAGCAGCCATACCTCAGAGGCTCAAGCAGGTTGGTTCAACCAAGCGTAGGTTTTTGGAGATGATGCATCTTTACGAAACACTAGATTATTGTGGTTAATTTGCAGAATTACGAATCAGTCTTAATGTTGTTTCCAGAGAATGGAGAGAGAGAGAGAGAGAGAGAGAGAGAGAGAGAGAGAGAGAGAGAGAGAGAGAGAGAGAGAGAGAGAGAGAGAGAGAGAGAGAGAGAGAGAGAGAGAGAGAGAGAGAGAGAGAGAGAGAGAGAGAGAGAGAGAGAGAGAGAAATTGCTGAGCCACAGATGCGTTGCCATGACGGTCCCAGGAGAAATCACAGATTAACCTAATTGGTTTTCCTCTATTTGGGAACACACAAGGAAGTCAGGGTATTATGATCTGGTAATAACTAAATAAACCTGCAGCAGAGAGAGATGATGGAAAGACTAAACATGAGGAGGAGGAGGGTGGAGGCAGAAGCAACTAAAATAGCACATGAGTGGACTGAGTTCAGTGTGTGGAAGGTCTTCACTTCCATTCTTTTCTCTAAATAAATGCTCAGTCTCCAGAGGACTCACCTTGATTGGAGGAGCCGTGGAGGAGCAGGGGCTTCTAGGATGTGGGCTTTCCTGTGGCTCTCTGTTCCTCTGGTAGCAGTCAAGCTGGACATGACTCTTACACTCCAGGTGGCAGGTGTAGCTGCAGTCTACATAACAAAACACAACAATATAATGTATTTATCATAACAAATACACTACAGTTATCCTTCTAAGAGACTATACAGATGGTTTGTGACTTGCAAGAGGGTGAGTTAGAAATTAAGACAATGGCTCCATCTAGTGGCAGAAATCAGTCATAAATTACTTATTCCTGCACACTGAAGATACACAAATAAACAAAATGAGATACCACGGCTAAATGACCATTAATGTATTAGGAGATCTATAAATTGCGATCTCATTAATGTAGCTGCCTTTTCTGTTCAAGCCTCTTCAAGTACAGGTGCATTAGAAGGTCGATAATGGATACATCAAGGAGCTAATGGCTGCTGACAAACATAATGTCCCACAGCAATAGATCGACTCCACTTAAACACTCAAAGCTGGAAAAAGGTTGGCAGGTTCAGACCTGCTTTAGAGATACAGGAATAAACCAAATTAGTTCCAGTCTGTTGTTCTACATTTTCCAGCTAGTTCCCCATTACGCCTCTCAGAGCTAGTTGTGGTCACAGACTTTCACACTGATCTCCTTTCTCCCCAGCTGGTGGCATGTTAACGCCAGTCTTGTAGTCAAGTCGCCATATCTCGAGTCCAAGTCACACTTGAGTCCCTAGTTTTAGAGTCCAAGTGAAATCCAAGTTGAGTTTGAGTCAAGTCCCTTGGTCTCACAATTCACATCCAAGTCCCAAAAGATTTCCAGTTTAACCTCCACTTGCTACATTTACACCCAGAAAATTAAGTGAAATTGCTATTGTCAATTCTAGCATGCTAACGATGCTAACATTAGCTTAGGTCAGATTACTGGACAACTCTGGTTACATGTCACATACCCTAAGTGGACAGGTGGCATGTTGATTATTGTTTTCAGTTAAGCATGTTATATTATTTTGCTGCATGCTGCTTTGTTAGCTTGGTGGTAATGTAGGGACATTCAGATGCCCTAGTCTTGTCTTCTATTGTCCTCCTGCATTTCATACATCTGATGCAGATTTCTCCTCACTCTGAGAAGAAATCTATTAAAGCAAATTGCACCACACGTCTGGACTCCCCTTGTTATGTTGGATACTTCAAACAAGTCGCGCCACATTTCCACATGTTAGGGTATGAGTCCAAGCTTAAGTCCAAGTTCAGGTCCAAGTGCAAGTCATCGCCATGCTCCTTGAGTCAACTCACAAACGTGACTTGAATTCAGACTCAAACCCAGTCTGAAATGAAGTACCTAATCACTGGTTAATGCTAACAGAAGGAGAGCGAGCTGTACAGGATCTTCTGGAATTGTTTTTCCTGGGATGTTTTTTATTATATTTGTAATTTTTGGCTGATTTTAGTGTGGCTCTGGAAAGAATGGGAGGCACTGATGCATTACTTACATTCCCGTCACCATGGTAATGAGGAATTTGATGGCCAGTGCCTCCCTAAAAACACCTGATCTCCTGGAAATGAATGCTACATTAATAAAAGATTAGATTACTGTATGTCTTTATTCAAATCATTAAAAAAACTGTAGCTTTTCCAACTCTGTGGTAAAGAGGGGTAAAGGCAGAGGGAGCTAGTGGTGAAGCTCCTGTTAATGATGTGTGTCTGACTGAGTGGTTAGCAGAGATCCAGAGTGAGAGGGAAAGGGTGAATCACCTCCATGACAGGGTGGGATGTGTCAAGAACAGGAGAGGCTTCAGATAAGGGATGCTCCGCTCAGGACAGTTTAGAGGTCGCTGCAGATAAACAGAGGCAAAGGAAGCCACCATGGGAACGGGAAAAGAGAAACTCCTTTCCTGTCCTTGTCTTTCCATCCATCTATAATGTGGACAGACACTTTTATTGCCTCCACCTTTGGGGCAGATTTACGCTCATCTTGCCACCTTTCAAGAAATTAATTAGCATGGATTTACGGTCTGTTTAGGTCGATGAGTTATGGGATTCGTTTTGAATGTTAAAAGTAAAACTTGAGCCAAGCTTCGGGCATGTCGACACAAGAAAGAGTGAAAGAGAAAGTGTGGAGATAAAATCAGGTTTAACTGTCTAATGTTGTTGAATGGAGTGTTGGACCTTTACAGTTCACTGGAACCAGCTGGGGGAGTTTCCCTTGTCTCCTCTCTGGAAAGTACGTTGCTTCACAAGCCGTCAGATGAAGAAGTTGATTAATTTAGAACATCCAACTTCTGGAGATGTCGGGGGTTTCGATGTAAAAAACTCAAAAGAATAGCCAACTCATCTAGAGACTGGGACAAGAATGACCTTCAGAGGGAGGCTGACAGAGAAAGTACATTACTTGATCTATTCAAATAACGACTGGTCACTCTGAGTTTCAAATGCATGAAAATAGTCTTCAATCTCTATCGTCCACATTAGTCAAGAAAGAAAACAGACGAGGGGTTGCCACTTGTTTGTTTTGAAACATGGGTTGGAGTACCCACATTTGATCACAAAAGATTCAATAACCCAAATTTCCCAGACAGAGAGAGATCCAGGACGATGTTGCAGAGTGACGGATGAAAAAGTCCCTCCCACCAGTCCAATGGAGGAGACGCATGTAAAGATCTTTTTGTGGTGGTTGTATTAAAGGAGCCATATCATGCTATTTTAAATAGTTGAAAGCAAAGGTAGGAAAATATATGAATATATTACTGTGAGATGTCATTCTGCCTGAATTTAAACGTTTGTTTCAGTGAAACTCCGCCCACTCCGACAAAACGCATCTACAAGTTAGTCAAGCTTGCTGTTGTTTTGGCCTTGATAGTCAGCTGGTCAAAGGCACCTGCCTTTCATCTTGTTTTGCCATTTGCTGACGCAACTCCTGGTGGAGTTTAATCAATTCTGACTGGAATACTGATGCTACTGAAGGTGAGAAAGGTACACATTCAGAACAGAGAAGACAGATGGTTTGAGAGAGGAGTACAGGAAGACTTCTATGTCAAATGAGAAAAGCCGACATTAAATAAAAGAGGAGGACTCAGGTTTCACCTTTCCAGCAGCTATAATGCAGCTCTGAACCTAATTCCAAGTTTCAGTATAGGACTAGATCGCACTCTCTAGCATCTAATCAATACTACTCCCAAACAATAGATGCTAATGACCTCAACGGGGGTAGGTTAAATGGGTTTTCATCAATGGTGAAATGGTCCATTGGGGGGCGCTAAGATGCCACTCCACTAGTCTTACAAGAAGAAGATAGGAATCACAAATGGATACAAAAAAAAAAAACATGAAAAATAAACTAAGTGATCGATACATCATACGGACTATAAGTGCTGTGTATAATCTGCATTTAAGTGTAGTTTAAAAATGTTATTTCACCGAATCATCTTGTGACATATTTCCTGTTACTTTCTGGCGCAGCAAACGCTACCACTGATCTACGCTAACTGGTGCATGTGCACTGGATCCCCCCCACTACAAAGAATAGGAGAACCTTTGGGTGCAAAGGTTTTGTGACCAAAACCAGGTGGAGTCTCAGCTCAGCTCAGTTCAGGATGTTCACCCTGAACCGGAAGCTCTCCACACTTCATCTTTTTTTTTTGTTCACTGTTCTTTGTTTTAGAACAGCTGAGTACACCTTGTGTAGTTTTTTTTAATGATGCACCGAGATGACATTTTTGGACCGATACCGATAACCGATATAAAGATCACTGTTATGGCCGATACCGATACCAATATACTGACATTAATGCTTCTAAAATCAGCAGATTTTGTATAGAATGAAAATTATTAAAACTGAATTTATGTTATTATGTACACACACCACACACATTTACGTTTCTGAGATGATTTCATTCACTGTTGACATGACTAAACAATTACACATCACCCCCACCCCCACCCACCCTCTGAAACAGGCAATCAAATGGAGACGAGATGGAAAAAATATCGGTTGATAATATCGGCCCGGTTTTATTTATCTAACCGATGCCGATATGTTAAAAAATGACTAACATCGACCAATACCGATATTGATGCCGATATACTGTCCATCCCTAGTTTTTTTATTATGAAGAACCAGAAAATCCTGGAATGTTGCATCAGAGATGTGTAAACCCTCTAAAGCATTTTAAAAAAGCACAAGACCGTCATGAATCACCTTAGTGTGACGTTGGGACATTGGATAACAGGAACCAAGTAGTTTTTTTTTACAATAACATAGATTATTATGACTAAAAGCCAGCAAATGTAAGATTGAATTTATGCTTTTGACTTCATGACATTAGTTTTGTTTGCTTTGCGTTGCTCTATGAGTTTTGCAGGTAGAGTAATGGTACTTATATTAGTGTAAAGAGGACAATCTAAGCTATAATTTAAATAGCTGCTTCTGTGGATGGGATCATGTTTCATTGTTGCTAATGTGTGTATTTCTTGATGTGTATTTTGCTTTTTTCAGCCTTTTTAATTTGGTGCCATTGTCGATTCATAAGAATGATAATTTGGCACCCCCAGTGGCGATATGTGGTTAGCACATCTAACATCTAAATGTGTCCCACCCAAGCCCCCACAATGCGGGACAGAAATTGAGTCCAATGCGAAAGTGAAATAAATTGCAGTTCCACCCTCATCCGCTGGGGGCTGGTGTCAGAAGTGAGCTAATCCTCATTGACTCCCATGTTAAAAATACCAATTTCACAGCATAAATAAACACGTTTACAGCCTGGTACCAAAACATGTTTTTGGTTTAAATGATCTAGTTTACACTCATGACAACTCTGAGGGGGGTGAATTTTTTTCTCACTCTTCTGTTTAAGTGTATTAAAAGCTTAAAATTCTGCACAATTAATGAGCATCAGACCCACGTGACCACAGAGCTAGCTCCGGGGAAAGGCTTCAGTCTGAGCCTCAGCCTCGCCTGAAAACTGTTCGGTCATTTTCAGTCTCTCAACTTAGACCATTAGTTGTGCCGTTTGCATCTCCTTTTTTGGATATTTTTTGTGCAATTGTTGGACAAAATGACTTGTTGTGGCATTAATTGCACTAATAGAGCATCCAAGGAGTCTCCACTTCA